TGAACAATTTTCTTTAGTAAGTTGGAGTCATCTGTTCAGCAGAAATTATGAGTTAGAAAAAAGTGAATAGAAAAAAAAGCTTGAGAAACATTATAGCCCAGGCAATACCTTTCTAACAGGCAGAGAGCGGAAAACACAACTTTTACTAAATAGTTCATTTGATATCACTGACTCAGCTCACTTTATTAGCCGATAGTTGTTTGATTAAAAGAATGAAGAATTAAGGTTGTTTTGTGGACCCAATAAAATCAAGTCAAATAACTTGCTTATATATACAGTGAAAAGGAAGGGACATAAGTTCATATCATAAGTGTATATCAGAAGTGTTCTGATGCACAGTAAAACTGTAGCGGTGTAAACAAGCTAATGTTTACAGCTGTAGATAAGATAAGACTGAAGATTAGCCACGAGAAATTGCCACACCACAGTAAACAGAAAAAGAAGGGACAAAGCAATTTATCCAAGTGCATCAAAGCCATCTGTGTGAAATTCTACTTAGCTAGTACTACTTTCCTACCATACATACTTTCCCATCAGCCCAGGAGTAGCAGCATTAGATAGTGTTCCTTTACTTACAGTTTTGTCTCTTCTTTATTCAGTGGGCCCATGTTAGTTCAACAGGGTAGTGAACCTGGATTGGTAGAAACTGGAGTCTCACTATAAATTACCAACTCAGCTTCCCTATTGTAGAAAGTACTAATGCAAAAATCAGAGGTAAATTTCTGCTGCATTAGGAGTTGCAGTAAGATGATATCTAATTGAAGATGATTTTCTGCTTGTCCTGGTAATTCAGAACCCCTTAAAAGTGAGATTTTTTCAGACTCCTTGTTAAATTCCAGTTGATAGTTACTTTCTGCAGAGTGGGCAACAGAATTAAAATCCCTAGAACAAGAAGTCCCATCATCTTAGTTACTTTCAGGACGGAAGTTCCTAATACACAGTGGCCAAACCACAGTGAATGGCGTATCAGTAAATGCTACATCACTAATAACTGATACTGACTACTAATAACCGCCCTCCAGAACTGGCACCTAATGCAAGCTTCCTGATTCCTGGAGTTCTGCAATTGGCTAAACATAATGGTATAAACCACAGACAAAGCACGAGGATTGTATGAATGAATTCTACAGTCAGTTACTCCCTTAAAACTTGTGTACACAAGCTACATCATTGCAATTTATCCAACATTAACCAAGGTCTGAATGAGTTGGTTAAACTGCATTACACCTTTGGCTGGACATTTTTATTCAGAGTTTAGTATAGCCTTCATTTGGTTTGATATAATTCATTCTTATCTGGTTTACTTTAGCAAAACAAAGGTGGATGGATAAACACTAGGAACAAAAAGAACTATTTAAACCATCAAAACAGTGGTCACTGCTAGTATAAGAGCAAATGGGTATGAGATTGTGTTTAGAAGCTAGAAGAAAATTCTTAACCCTCACAGTAACCATACTCTGGAACAGTTTTTTTAAATACAGTAATATGCGCAAAACACCTAATTACTTTTAAGCTAAAACTCAGTCAATTCATGAGCCAGATTACATGGCATGCTTGCAATAACCAGGAAATAGATTCAGTGACCCAGAAGGTGCCTTTCAGGAAAGTTCCCATGAAGATATTTACATACCTACTCTACCTTTCTCAAGATTTGCAAAGTCTACATAATGTCCACAGGATATATCTTACACTGTAAAAACATAAAAACAAGTGTTAGATCTTTCAAACTGAGCATGTAGTATCAGCATCACTAGCAAACACTTTCATGTTGTGGCATTTATTCTCCCTGCTTTCATTTTTTTTATTTGTAACATGGAAGTAGTAATACCTTCTTGTCTCACAGGGAGCTGTGAAGAAAAATTCATGAATATTTATAAAATGCTGACTCCAGTGATGAACACAATCTCCTCACAAGAAAATCAATAAACCCATACAGATTTAGATGGTGTACGGTAAATAAAGGTTATAGCCACACACAAACTAGAACAGATAAACAGATAAACAGCTAATTCACCATGCACCCATATCCTGTAAAATGAGTCAGACTGGGGTCAGGAAATATATCTGAGGATCTTGTAGTAAGAGACTACCTTGGTTCATATGCACCACAGTCAGCTTTAATTTGCACTGGCAAAATATTGGGTTTTCATGTATAACATTGGTTAGGACTCTAAATACATCATTTAGCCAATGATCTTGTAAACAATAATTCAATGTAATTTAAAATTTAAGGTTTTTTGGTGAAATCTCTGCTACAGTTAAATTATTTGGGTTTACTGCAGAGCTAAGGAGGAAAAAGGTGATCAAATTACTGGGTGATAATCAAGTCCCTTTCTGGCTGTGAATTATGATTAAAAGGCTACCACATCTTCAAAGATATTTAAAGCAGAGTGTATGTCATAGTATTTTACTATTTATACTGCAAATACACACCAGATCTCTCAGGTACATGCAGTGACCTGATATAAACGCACCTTGTACTTGCTAAGCTGGTCCAGGAGCATCTACACTGCAGTAGTGATAACCATCTATGCCTACAAACCCAAATCCCCACTGGCACTGCTATTTATGTGGATTTGGCACTGGAATCATACCCATGTTCTTCGCATTTCATTAACTTGAGGTACTCTGGGAAATGTTTGATGGCATGCTATGACATAATTTCCCTCTTCCTTCCAGGTCTTCATGGGAAAGTCTTCAGTCTGCCAACATGTTTAGTTGACAGTTCCCATGATGTAAGTTCTTCTCTTTCATGTGCTCCAACCAGTGCCAATATGAGCACAGCTGGATGAGCTGTTCATGCTTGTACTTGCAGAGTTATTGCAGCCATGAACAGATAGAGAGTTGAAGAACACAGACCAGAGAGTTCTCCAACTGTGCTGGAGTCATCAATGGCTCTCACGTGCCCATAGTTTTCCCTTTTCATGTGGCTGTTCAGGATTTAATAGGAAAGGCACTGCAGACCTCTCTGGGAAAAAAAAGGGATATATCTGTGTGGATGACATTCAGTGTTATTACCTCCACACAGAAAAGCTATCAGTGAGATTTCTCAATCAAGCATTATCTCTGGTGATTATCTTCTTTATAGTTACTCATCCATAGCATACTTGGGAGAAGACAGTTTAAATATACTTCAGACATGCTGGATGCTTGCTTTCAGTGCTTGGGATCAAGACCATTTGTACTACTGGACAGTAGCACAAAAGGTTAAAAGTGAAAACATGTATGTATAATGGCTGAGTCAGGTGCCAGTAAAGCCTCCCACCCACCCAGTCAGACCTATCTCTCTGAACAGCTCATATACCCTGCTTCAGCACATCTAATGAAACTGCAGAGTGCTGCACTAAGGCAGCCAAGATAGTTCATTTAGGGTTTGGTCAGGTATTTTTGCAGCGCATTGATGTGCAGGCCTAATTGAGGGAATTGTTGTTGCTGGGCAAACAGGGGAAATAAAGTGATGCCTTCTGTAGTTGTAAACTTACAGAATGCACTGACATGCATGAAAAAACATGAATGGGAAATGTGGGACTCTGCATATGAATTATTTACAGCTCTGATGTGATTACAGAAGAGATGGCTAGTTTGTTAAAAGCTGTGTGATGTTCTCTTCTTTCTCAAACACCTATGCTAACCTGAAAGTTCCCATAAATCAACATGTTAACTAATTAAACAACATTAAAGTAACTGTTTTCTGGCAGGCCTACTACCACTTGTGTCTTACAGCTACCCATTCTGCCCTCCTCAGAATTGCATCCTCTTTCCTACAGCACCTGAGGTGGTGGATCCTGCCAGAGAAACATAAGAACTCCGTATCTTTTCCTGCCCAGAAGAATAAACCTGCATATTTTCAAGGCAGCAGTTAATGGACTTCCTTCATTTAGATGTATTTTTATTCCATCTGACACACCAATATATTTTGAAATTCCTGCGAGCCATATGGGCACTTCAGAGAACAGACCATCAGCTGCTGATCACTGAAACATAATCAAAGTGTTTTTGGTATGTGGTCAGGGATGTAAGGCATGTTAAAATGCAGGACAACAGAGGAAAATGATGTTGTGCAGATGGGAAGGAGAGCACAACTAACTACCACTGCTCTTGCACAGCCCCTCCAGCTCTCCATTAGGAATTCATTGTTGATACTGGACAAGTACTGGTAACTCTGATACATTTCAGTAGGGACCAAGTCTGCAAATAAATTTTTCTGGGTTTTTAAAGTCCTTTTCAAGAAGAAAATTATCATGGAGTAGCAATTTTCTCACTTTTGTGTAGTAGGCCATGTGATTTCATTGTAAGGGGCAGACTTCAGGAGTGCTCTGGAAGGCTGTTAAGAGCAAAAAGGACAGTGTGGGGCTTCAGAAGGGCTATTGATGGAACAACTCACTGAGGTTCCTCATGGCAGTGATTTGTTTTAAGGTAAGTTTCTCAATAGCCAGAGGCTTACTTCCTAGAAAATAAAGAGTGTTTGCTAACCTTGATTAGCCCAGTGGCTAGAAAACTTGATGTTTAGACAGGCCCTGCTGCCTTCAGTGCCAGATTGTCTTGGCAAAACATCAAGAACATCAATTTCCCCAACAAGCTGTCAAGGGCATCAGGTTCTGTCACAGCCGCACTCCTGCCACAGCCTCCATCTGCTAAGGCCTGAAGGAAAAAAAAAAAATGCCTTTAAACGGTAACTAACCTTTGGATGGGCAAGCGCTGCAGTCAATGCAGATTGTAAAAGCAGCTCATTTGATTTCTCACTTTGAAAACTCAGCACTTCAGCAGGGCAGGAGAAAAACTGCTGATGCCTGGGCATGACGGCCCTTTGCCTGCACGCAGCCCGTGTGGCTGGCTTGGGACTGGGTTTGCCCCTGGCTGGCGGAAAGGGTTTGCTTGGCGGTACCGAACCGAACCTCCCCAAGCGGCAACCGAAGGCCTGGCCCTCACGGCAACGAGCAAAGCTCCCTCACCCGGGCCCGTGGGGTGTGCGGCGGGGCCGCTTTCGGAGGTGCCCCCCGCGGCAGCCCGGCCGGCGGGTCCTGCTTCGGTCACTCCCCAGGGGAGAAAGACCAGAGCGGGAAAGAGGCGGGAAGAGAAGAGCGGCAAAAGGCCGGTAAGGGCAGGCTGAGATGCCGAGAGAGGTGCCGAGGAAATGGGGCGGAGGCGGGCCGGGGCGGCAGGGGGGCGCGGCGGTGCCGCGGAGGCCGGGC